TGAAGGACGCCAACCCGGAGATGAAGTTGTAGAACAAGATAATGTCCGCATTTTCATTGATCGCCGAGCTCAGCTGACGTTACTAGGTACTGAAATGGACTATCAGCAGGACGTACTATCAAGTCAATTTGTTTTTAATAACCCTAATATTAAAGGCACATGTGGGTGCGGAGAGAGCTTTACTGTATAGATTTCGATTCTTAATTCTGATCTAGCAACCGTGTGTACTTTCAGATATGTATTAAATTTAATTCAATTTATTCTTTAGTAAATGTTTTCTGTTTACTTATGTTTTTATATTTCATCGTCCGAAAGTCATAATACCTGGCTTATAAGGAATATGTTGACTGTTACTTAACAGAAAATCACATATTTATTAGAAGTGCACTATGTTTGTTTACGTATTTCAGTGCTTGTTTGTGTAGTAGTTTATTGATTACAGCACAGCTCTAGTTTAAATAACCGGGTAGCATCACTACCACACCAAAATTGGGATTCAGAGCTGAGTGCACGAATCTTAATATAGTAACTGAGTTTTGTAGTTTATCATTATTTATCTTAACACATAGATATTGCTAGAAGGAGGCACCAAATACATATACACCACACAAATCTCATGAGGGCTGTGGTACTGCCCGGGCGCCCAAACCGAAGCAGGTGGTCTTCTTAGGGGGCCACTCCCCGATCCTTCGACCTGAAGGTCTGATCCACAAGGCAGTGGAGCAACGTCAGGAGATGCACTCCCATGGTAACCCGTGACCAATAATAGGTTGATACGTCTTTTGTTCCCTCAGGAAACTGGAGCCCTTGTGCATCATTGATTTGGAATCAAGGTTTTCCAACTCCTCTAGATGGACCCTCCCTATTCACCAACCCGCTTAAAGCACTAAACGTTCGCTTTTCGTTCTTTCAATTTCGTAAACAACACCTCCGTCAAGAGAATTGTGTGAGTAGGACTTCCTTGTGAGTGGCTGTATACACGTGGCCATGTGAGAGCATTTTGAGAGGGAGAGCTGACTCTCCCCACTCTCGGCCGTACCAGGGCATTTGGGGTTTCTGTAGCACTAGTCCTGACAATTCATTACTTTTTTGGACCTTTTGCCTAGTCAGAGCTTATATACTATTGATTTTTAAATTTTATCTCCGAATTCCAACAATGAATTCATCTAGGGCAATATCTCAGACTGCTCTTCGCATACAAGTAGTTTGGTTGCCGAAATCAGTTTTCATGAACTTGGGATTTACACACAACCTAACTCTGTTAAATCAAGACACTAAAAGCATAGCTTTTCTAATCTCTGGCTCTCATTTGTATACAGTCTGAGATTTTGGTCACAAAAGATTGAAACATCTTTATTTTTATCAAGTGGTTACTATGGAATTTAATCTTATTTATGATCTTACTAAAAAGTATGCTTTAGGTCTCAGTTGTTATAGACTATTTGTATTTATGTGAACAAATAAGCACTTTTTATACACTAAATATACTTTATCTATCATTCAGAGTGAGACACCGTTCAGAATAGAAAGCCGATGATCCTCAAGTTAAACGACATGAAGTAGTTCGAACATACCCAATCTTCCTACTTTGAGGTTTTCCCCAAATCTGGGAATTTGTGCCATTTCCCTAAAACCTTCTACAGTGGCTTCCCAAAAATAGAGAAGTTGGTCAAGGTTGAAGTTTGTACCAACTACACGTGCTGTTACTTAAGGCTGTTAAAATGTTCTGTGAAGCGATCCCACTCAGCTAAATACGTTCTGTGTTTTACTCATACTAGTATAGCCCCGAATGCCCTGGTACGGCGGAGAGGGCCCGCCCTCCCTTTCGAAGTGCTCTCGCACGACCACGCGTATACAACATCTGCCAGGGAAATCCTAATCACTGCCTTCTCGCGGCGGGGGTGTTGTTTACGAAATTGAGAGGACGAGAAGCGAATATCCGGCGCTTTAACCGGGTTAGTGGACATGGTGAGTCCACGTAGAGGTGTTGGGAAACCTTGATTACAAACCGATGGTGCACATGGGCTCCAGTATCCTAAGGGAACATATAGAGTATGGACCAATTGTTGGTCACCGGCTGCCATGGAACTGCATCTCCTCACTATGCTCCACTGCCTTGTGGGTTAGACCATTAGGTCAAAGGCTCGGGGTGTGGCCCCCTAAGAAAACCACTTGCTTCGGTTTGGGCACCCGGGAGATATCACAGCCCACACGCAAACAGAAGGAAATGTCGATACTTACGAATAATACTATACTTGCTTCCATTAACGGTCAAACGATGCACATTGTTGTTATTATTATTTACTACGTCATTTATTCACTCTCTTTTATTCCCACTTTATGTATCCTTATTTTCTGACTTATACAGCAGCTCGCTTATGGTGGAAACTCAGTTCTATCTAAACGTTCTCGAGTCACTGGCTGGTTGAAAATTGTATGCTACCACCAAATACGAATACTGAAGCAATTTTTCTGAAACCACGCGCACCATTCAAACTGGCTGCCTTCAACGTTCGAACTTGAATGCAGGTCGGACAACAGATAGGGTTGGTTGTCTTTGGAAAGTCGTAATATCGACGTTTGTTGTCTATCCGAGACCCGTATTCAAGACTCTGGTGATGTGCTACAGATTCGCTCTCCATGTATCACTTTGAGAGGCTTGTTTTACGTCCGTTTATCCGGGGACCTTGTGGCATCTTCGTCCAGTCTTGTTGGCGTTGGTGTCGCACTAAGCGCTAGAGCTAAGGCAGCACTAATCAATTGGATCCTCATTAACAGTCGGTTATGTGCTGTTAGATTAGAAAGTTCCATCAAAGTGAGAAGAAATCGGCGTGAGAAACGATGTCTTTTCGTCATCTCCGCCTATGTCCCGACAGATTGCATGCCGGATGCAATTAAGGATGAATTCTACCACCAGTTAACTGTTCTTCTCCAGAAAGTGCGTTCGACAGATATTGTAGTACTAGCCGGAGACTTGAATGCTCAGGTCGGGCGTCTTCTGTCATACTTTGTAGGTTGTTCCAAACCCGAGAAAGATTGACTCTCGAGGAGCAGGCTGGGATTCGTTCTGGTCGAGGATGTATTGATCATATCTTCACCCTACGCAAAATGTTAGAACACCGCCATACTTATCAAAGGCCAACAATCGTAGTGTTTCTTGACATCAGGGCTGCCTTCGATTCGTTGGACAGCACCGTTCTCTGGGATTGTCTATTGAAGAAGGGTGTGCCTGAGAAGTTTATTAACATCCTAAAAGCCCTATATACAAGCATCTCGAGGAGAGTGAGGGCATACAACCACCTCTCTCCATTGGAGCAGTGGGGTTAGGCAGGGTTGCCCAATCTCACCCTTCCTCTTCAACTTTGCCATCGATGACATTCTGGAAACAGCTCTGATGAATGTAAGTAATGGTGGTGTGGATCTGTTGCCTGGAGAAAGACTTCTCGACCTCGAGTATGGGGATGATGTTGTTTTACTGTGCGATAATGCCCAAGCCATGCAATCCGCACTTAATCAGTTGGCAATCAATGTCCGTAGGTGCGGTATGTGCTTTGCACCTTCGAAGTGCAAAGTACTTCTACGAGACGCAGGATTCTAATCTTGTACTCATCCTGGATGTTGAGCAAATAGTAGTTGAGAAGTTCGTGTATCTGGGTAGCTGCATAAGTGCTGGTGGTGGTGTTAGCGATGAGATCAATGCACGTATAGTGAAAGCCAGAGAGGCTTATGCCAATCTGGGCCATCTATGGCGCCTTCGTGATGTCAGTCTGGATGTAAAAGGTCGAATGTACAACGCGTCAGTGAGAGCAGTTCTATGCTTGTGAAACCTGGCCTCTCCGAGTTGAGGATGTTAGAAGACTCTCTGTGTCTAATCATTGTGGTCTCCGAAGGGTTGCTGATATCCAGTGGCAACACCATGTTAGTAACGCAGAGGTTCGGCATCGTGTTCGGACGCAGAGACTGTAATCCAGCTGGTGTCACCATCTTGAAACATCGACTTCGGTGGCTTGGACATGTTCTACGAATGTCGTCCCAGAGAATTCCACGTCGTGCATTACTTGCCGACTCTAGGACTGGTTGGAAAAAGCGGAGAGGTAGTAAGTGCATGACATGGTGGCGTGGTATGCAAGGAAACTGGGCTGGGTTTCGTTCGTCCTTCACGATTCCCTGACTGGGGTCCGAGAGATGGTGCAACACAGTGGCTAGAGACGTTATCAGATATGGCTCAGAATAGAAGCCAGTGGCGATCCTGCTGTAACCTTCTTTTACTTTCTTCGTAAAACATGGTTGTGTCTCCCTTAACTGAAAGATTTCTTCTGGTTGTACTGTTCCGTTTTCCCCATTATTATTATTACACTACCTCACACTAATCTTGTCGTTATTGTTCTTCTTTTTTTCTTTTACGCTCCTTACATTCTTTTTCTCTTGTCATTCTCATTGTTTTGTGTGGCGCATATATATTTGGTGCCCTCTTTTACCAATATTTATGTGTTCAAATAAAAATAATTCATACTTGTATACTCGTTAAAATACTGCCCTGGACTGTACCTACCAACATGAAAAGCTGATATTTATTGGTAACACAATTGGGTATCTAGAGCTTGGTCTTATGTTCCGCAGTAATGCAGATTTGTACGACGGATTATCAGTTGGAAATCCTTGAAAAGTCAAAGCAAATAGTTAATTGCAATCTTATTCAATATGATAGATAAGCAAACTTCCATTCAATTTGATAAGTTATATAACACATCTATCTACCAACAAGATTAATGCATAACGCCCAACAAGCATGGTAAAACCTCACAACTTTTAGTATCATTCAAGAATTAACCGAATTTTTAAAATAATTACATGCAGTGAGGTTACAGTTCTTAGAAACAAAATGCAAGACTACATAGGAGGTAAAAAAATTATTGTAAATATTAGACCAGAATAAGTGACAAGGCGAAGCTCTCAGCTGAGACTACAAAGGAAATTCACGGCGATGAATTCTCATGGCTTCATGCACCTAAAATATCGGCTGCTGGACCGGCTGGACACGATCGAGAACACTTGCGTTGCAAATCCGAGAACGGGCGTCCTTGTAAGAGACAGACCAAAACGACAGTCATGTTGTCGCAGCCCAAACCATTTGTATGACAGTCAGGTGCTAGACATCGCATCATAAGTTCTTCACATACCTAAGAACAATACAATGTGTGGTTTAGTATGAACACAAACAAGAGGTCTTATACTTTTTGAAATATCTGGTTAAAATGGCTATATTTACCAGTATCCCAAAAGCACATTAATTCTCAGAGTAATTAGGCATAGAACGAACAATCAGTTCAGACCCTCTAATTTCTAATAGTTAACAATACGCATATATACACTCGCTCGCACTATTCATTGTATCGTAATTAATTTCTACAGCAGAAATTATAAAAGTATGACTTCGTATTTTTCACTTTTTTGTGATACAACTGATGGTTTACAATATTTTTCCCCTCTACATGTACATTAAGATAATACGTTATTTTATTTTTTTATATTTCAACACAGATATTGGTACAAAGAGGCACCAAATACATAGGCGCCACACAAATCTCATTCGATATGTGTGAGGGCTGTGATACTACCCGGGTACCCAAACTGAGGCAGATGGTTTTCTTAGGGGGCCACTCCCCGAGCCTTCGACCTGAAGGTCTGATCCACAAGGCAGTAGAGCATCGTAAGGAGATGCAGTCCCATGGAAGCCGGTGACCAACAATTGGTTCATACGCCATTTGTTCCCACAGGATACTGGAGCCCATGTGCACCATTGGTTTGGAATCCGGTTAAAGCGCCGAACATTCGCTTTTCGTTCTCTCATTTTCGTAAACAACACCCCCGCCACGAGAAGGCAGTAAGTAGGACTTCCCTGGCAGAGGCTATATACGCGTGGCCATGTGAGAGCATTTCGAGAGGGAGAGTGAACTCTCCCCACTCTCGGCCGTACCAGGGCACTTGGGGGGAAAGATAATACGTTCATAAGACTAATCACGTTATTTCAGAACCAGTATTCGCGATCCAAAAGAGAACTTGGTTAACACTAGAGAATACTTTATGCAATACAATTACAAGTATTCACATACAGTGTGTCCAGAGTAGAGATCAAAGATAAAAAGGAAAATCACATCTTTAATAGTCCGTAGGCTATTGCTGTTTGTTCACGCTCAACAATCAATCATACTTTACCTTCACTACTACACATCAATTGAATTTATACCGCTTACAACATTTTTATTTTTACAGAAATATGCGTTTTGGTAGCATATCCATTAAAAGTAGGAAATACTTCAAAGCTGTAGAATACTGGCAGTTCTGTCAAAATTAAATGTATTATCACTGTAATCAGTGCAGATAAAATTTGATGTATTAAGTGGCTGTACTTTTCAGAACACTCAGTGATAATGAACCATATTTTCATATACTGTTTGAAACACAGCAGTTTTTTTATGACACAGAAACTAGGTATTTTGTATCAATTCATTATAAAGGGAGGTTAATCACTAAACTGCTTCTGCTTATTGATTTAAAAAGACACTTTTAAAGAGTCTGGAACATATAGATCTTAATTCTACAGCAATTTTTGAGAATTTTCGAAAATGAATTCTTATTTCGATATGGTGCTTTAATTAAAAAATGTATTACTATGTAAAATCTTACTTTAGATGGAAGCATACCATAACTGAGTCGCAGACGAATAAAGCTTACAACTTCCTGATTTGTCATTACATCCCATATACCATCGCAACACAGTACAATAAATTCATCATCTTCGACTGAAAGTCGTCGAACAAAAACGTCTGGATTCGCAGTTACGATTTGGTTTTCGGCAGACTGGTGTGGATTACGCTTGAAGACAAAATCCCCGAAAGCTCGTGATAGTGCGAGGTTCCCATTCACACGTTTTGCATCGACCCAACCACCAGCAGCTGAAATACGTTCTTTCTCAGCACGTAGAGTTGGTTTGTGATCTGTAGACAAAGGTTCTGCGACTCCACGTCTGCTACATACTGCACGGCTGTCTCCAGCATTTCCACAGTAAAGCATCTGATCTTTCAGTAGGACTATTATTCCAGTGGATCCAGCCAATTCATCACCTGGATTTGGAATTTTCAAAGAGAAGCTTGTTGTACTGTCATTGTGGGTTTCAACAGTACTATCTTTCACTGCCACAACTGAACCAGGAGCTGTTAAATTAACTGAGCTGTCTAATTTCGGTGCCGATGATTTAACAGAATATGTGGTCATTTCAGATTGCATCTCAGCATCCATAGAAAGAAAGGCATGACGAATAGCCTCTTTTATGTCATTCCGACCTAAAAAGGACAAGTTAACGGCTGGTTATGTAATAAGGAAAAAAACAAAAAGTATTTTACTTAGAGGTATAAGTTTGTTAGAACTGCTTCATAGCTTTGTACTACCTTATTATCCAACAGTAAATCAATTGTTCGGTTCTTTAAATTAGGATGTTTCATCGTAGTTCTACAAATGGGAAAAGTCCAAAATCATCGTTCGCTCAATTTGTGGTGGGATAACATCCACCCAATCCCACAGCTTGATACGACTAGTTGAAAATTGCATAGTAATCCCATAAACATACACGAGTTAGTCGATCGGTTAATGCAATGACCAGCTTAGTTTCTAACCCTAATCCAGATCACTCGAATGATACTGGGGATGTCGTAGTTTATTTTATTTATTTATTTATTTGAACACATAAATATTGGTAAGAGGGCACCAAATATATATGCGCCACACAAAACAATGAGAATGACAAGAGAAAAAGAATGTAAGGAGCGTAAAAGAAAAAAAGAAGAACAATAACGACAAGATTAGTGTGAGGTAGTGTAATAATAATAATGGGGAAAACGGAACAGTACAACCAGAAGAAATCTTTCAGTTAAGGGAGACACAACCATGTTTTACGAAGAAAGTAAAAGAAGGTTACAGCAGGATCGCCACTGGCTTCTATTCTGAGCCATATCTGATAACGTCTCTAGCCACTGTGTTGCACCATCTCTCGGACCCCAGTCAGGGAGTCATGAAGGACCAACAGAGGCCAGCCCTTTGCAGCTTTCTTTCATACCACGATGTCGTAGAGAACAATATTGACGGGGATTGTGGCAGGCTAAGATTATGTTTATCATCATACGTTGCAACCACAAAGTGTTATATGTAGCCATTTTAGGAAGATGAGTTTTATAACTATCGTATATTTCAGTGACATTTATAATATTACTATCAGGATGAATAAATCCAAAACGTTCCAGATAACTACTAGATGTTCACAGGCGGGAACTTTAATAACTAAAATGGCTACCGACGTGTCTAATACTGAATTGGTGTTTAGACAGATAATGAGGAACGATATAGATATCATTATATACAAACATATAAGCAAAAATCTCAAGTTAACTGAAACACCCTGTTAGCGAGACAGAGACTGGATTAAATCATGCTCCATGCACAATTGCGTTGATGCTCGCTGACTGCCTAATTCTTATCCAATCAGCGCTAGCCGATGCTTGGAGAACATTCTAGAATATTCCCCTGTAAAAACTATAAATAAGCTAACGTTTTTCTTATTGTGCTTCTTACTTCGATCTACCCTTCTTATTTGGAATATAATTCCCTATCTGTTCAACCGCCTTCTGACTTGGGGACTCGTCGAGTGAATTGGTGTCCAAGAATACTATGAAATAGGAATAGATGAGTTGTAATATGAGAGAATTATAACACACCCATAAAACCTAATAGGTATACATCCTATGGTTCAAGTGTTGAGAAAGAAAATCAAGATATCAACAAAAATGTTATGAGATAAAATTAACATTGGTTTGGCTTCACATATGTAAAACAGCTATTAAGCCAGGAATTTCAACGTGAAAAATACGTGTACTGATGCTAACCGTTTGTGGCAAAAGGAAATAACACCACATTAAGTCCTAGCCTCGACTTTTATAGACCTCGCTTTTTCAGGCAGATTTTAAGGTGGATATAATGAATGGTGGAAAAACTACGGACACGGTTTGAGCGAATAACCAGACCACAAAGCCTAACTACGTGCACCTACGTCAAGTAGAGATTTATTCAAACTTTGCCTGTGATCAAAATAGCTTTCTATCCGTTCAACTTAGGTATGCATTACTCTTAAGGTCTTATACGTGATGCACTCGTATGCTATTCTAATATTTGACGTCAATAAAACGAACAAGACGACTTCTATTCTCTTCTTATTTGCCGCCTCAACAACAGTGAGAAGTTCAACTTTGTAATGGAAGCTTTTTTGATGATAACCTCAGTATAATTAAAAAATCAGTTTAGGTAACCGGCTATATATCGGTTAAAATGATCAGAATTCATAAACTGAGTGACTGCCACCAAACACAAATCAGAGCGAAGACCTATATAAAAATCAGAAGCCAATGTTACGAAAATTAATTAAAAGTTTACCTGACCCTCACTTTAAATTGATATCAGCCTTCAAAAAATCACATGTAGTCCTAGTTACCAAAATTTTTGCTATATGTATATAGTATTCATCAATATACTTTTCTTTCAGAAAGTATGACAACTGTTATTCATCTGAGGTCACTACAATATATGTAGACTAATTCAAGCTATTAACTATCATAAATTGAACCTGACAATTGCTACAGATGAGCAAATGACATATTTCAACGAGTATCAAATCAAAGAAAGAAAAATAAGCGCATCAAATAATTTCCTAATTAGCATGCCTTTTCTAAAATCGATCCATATGAGAAAGAAGACTTACTATATTCAATTTGTTCAAGAATTTTCTCGTGAAGATGACGACTTGCATGGTTTGCCACTCTTGTACCTCCATGTCCATCAAAAACTGAGAAATAGGCAGCCTTTGGATCACCAGGCAGCTCTAGTAAACACATATGAGCGTCCTCCATATGTACACGCCATCCTTGCATGCTGGATACTGCAACACTATAATTTTCATTCTGCCAGCTCTTCGTTTCTTTGGATAGAACAGGAGCACATAAAGACTGACCCATTTGCGCCAAATAAAGAACACTACAGTTGTCTTTCGTACTGCTTCATTTAACTAGTTATTATTGTCCGGTTCACCCCTTATACCTACGCTACATACGCTTGACGGTTGTGGTGAGACGATGTTCTATAAATGAAAAAAGAAAAAGCACATGATAAGTAGAATAGAAATTTTTTAAATAATTGACGAGATGTTAATAGTGAATGAACTTAGCTGTCATGAATCCTTGTAAGACAAAACCTTTCATGTTTTCGGTGGTAATCTTCCCTTAGGGAAATGCATTAATGAAGATTCTATCTATTTGGGAATGTAAACACAAACTACAGTGACTACTGGAGATCAGTAGTACAGAACATTTTCTGAAATATTTAACTTTAATGTGGTATAAACTGGTATACTTCTAAGAAGACGATTACTGGCAGAGGAATCCCGTGGCTAAGGGTTTATGGGTTAACTTTTAGATTAAGCTCTGTTTTTGAGAAGGCAATATGGGTGGGTAACGTACTGATGCTGCTAAAGCACAGTGCAGACAGTGGTTCAACGTTCAATAAGAACCTTGTCTTTACTACTACTTAATCAAAATCACAGTAAGCAAACCATGACAAGTTGAGACGGAAATGAATTAATTTTGAAAAGTAGTAATGCTTTTAAGACATGTAGGTATATACATTTGACCAGTGACACAGAAAACACTCACCTTTGTAGTACAGAAGCTAAAATTGATATCAGTGCGAGGACTCTAGAAGTGTTACTCAGTACATTACCGAAGCGGTCGAAACACTTAATAGGTTGTAAGAACACCTTCAATAATCTGGTATGTGAAACGGGGTACAGATACTTGGTGAATAATATCTGTTTTGTTAGCCTTACTAGTATACGTTTTGAATTAATGGAAAAAATAATTAATATTGCCAGTCTACATCACGCCGAAAGGATCAATCATTTAGCAATAGAATTTATCTTTCGGGTGTTTCATTTTCATCTGATTGGTTGATCATCGTTATAACTTTACTGGTTTCCTTACATAATAGCGAAGTGTGTTGTTGTGTTTAAATAAAAAATGTTACCGAAACTCGGACTAACCCACAAAAAATGGGAGTCAAAAGCTTTTGCGACAACTTTGTTTCCATTTAAACACAGTTAGCAGAAATACCTGTAGATGCAAGAGACTGTAAACAGTCTGTAACGTGTAGCGGTTTTCGTCTAGCCAGAAGGTGCGTTATGTACTAGGGGGCCAGAGTAGCGTGAGGGCTAAAAAATAATAAGTGAATTGACGACCCAGTAAGTGAAAACAATCCACCAAGATTTACTAAATACAGGAATAAACGAATATCACTAATAACGCTGTCCTCAAAATATGATAAGCTTGAGATCAAACAAAAAGTACATAGCATAGCATGCCACAAACACAGTAATCTCTGCTTGATTGCTGGGACAATATGCTCACTTCCAAATACCTTAAATGAAGGATTGTGAGTAGTAAATTACTGTGTAAACACGTATCAACGACAAACATTAATCATTTAGACACAACATGAAGAGGGAGGCGATGTAGCACTTTACGCGATTACAATTATAACTCTTGAATAATGGGGAAAACAAATAATTTCATTGTTCCAAATCTAAACGAGATTGTACGAAAGCAATTTGGAGGAGCTGGTGAAGTATTAATAAACAGTTGCTAGATGAACTGTATAATTGGATTTCGCAGGTAGGTGGGGTGTGGATGTGTTAAGATTCTCGGTGTGAATCTTGGGTAGCTGAGCATGAGTATGAAATCGAATCCCGTTACGAAATAAAATAGGTAAGATAAATGAACGACCTCTAACAAGAAACACTAGTAATTTGGCTACAAACCAAATACCATTTTAAAACACTCAGTTTTGAGAAAAAATATACTAATATTTGTAGGGCACGTGCCATTGAAAATCGAAAAAAGATGTGTTTGCGTTACGAATGGCTAATTTTTGCGAGCATTTACTTCGCAGTCAGATTCATGTAGTCTCCCACATGCATGTACTGTGATCTGTGATAACTGAGCCATTTAAGTAAATGATTATTACCATTAATAGTAATAATCATTGTTGTTCCTTTAGTGCGATTCATTATTATTCGCATCAATCAGTCAAGAATTAACACCAGTGACATTATGCTACCGATACACAGTTATGAAAATTATAATCTAAGTTTATTTCCTGACCTCCACAGTGACAGTTAGTATGTACATAGAACAAAAACCTTTGCACGGCACTGAAGTGATCCCTCCTTAAATTACATTATTATTAGACAAAATCCGAAGTCACACTAGATCAATTTAAATTAACCTGCAGTTTAGCATAAAGTTTATCAAAAAAATCTGATATTCATATTTTCGCAGCCTGTTGCATCAAGTTTATTATCGAAACTTTGTCAATTATTGTCGCATCACTTTATTCATCAAAAATCTTTCCGTTGTCGAACATTGTCCACGTTTTTGATGTATTTTGTTTTGAATCAAAAGGCAAAACACTAGCTTTTGGGCATATACCTTAACAACTTGAGGTCATGACCTTGTGTATCGTCAATATTGAATTGTACGGCCGATACTAATGTTTTAAATGGTTGTGGACGGAATAGAAGAAGCTTTCGCTTAACAGGCTTCCGTGTCTAGTAGCAAGGGATCACCATATCCTCCAGGCAGGAAGCTAGGTATGTTATCAATAAAAGAGGAAAAGAAATTGGTAAATCATAGTGTGATGCTGTCCTTGGTCCTTAAGAATAGATCAAGTTGCCTCTTGAAGGACTTCTGAGAAATCGCTTGGACTAGCTCGGCCGGCAGCAAATTCCAGCTTTTGACAACTCTTAAGGAGTAGAAGTTGTGTCTACATTCCGTCTTGCTATGTTGTGTTTCCAGTTTCTGGGTGTTATTATTCGAACTAAGCTTAAGTAGGTGTTTAAAAGGATGTCCAGAAGTGTTAAGAATACTATAAGCCATTAGTAAATCACCTCTAAGACACCTATATTCTAGTGGGTAAAGGTCTAGTGAACGGAGGCGTTCTTCGTAAGGCTTAGATTTGAGTCCTCGAACTGATTTCGTGGCTCGCCGTTGGATACGCTCCAAAGTGACCTTGTCCTTTTGGAGTGAGGGGGGAGTACTATGTTTCCGTACTCTAAATGGGGACGGATGAAACTATTGAAGATTGTATGGAAAGTTCTTCCGTCAAACTGTCCAAAAATGCGCTTCAACGTTACCAGTGCAAGGTTTGCTCGGAAGGCATTTTTGTCACAGTTAGCGTAAGACTTTAAGTCATGGGGCACCAGGACTCCTAAATCTTTTTCGACTTGGGATACTACTAGAGAGGAGTTTCCCAAGTTGTAACTGTAGTTTGCGACATGTCGCAGATGGACTACTTTACACTTTGAAGTGTTAAAGGTAAGTCCGTTATCGTCTGCCCAACTTTGAAGTCGCGTCAGATCCTCCTGAAGTGCCTGTATATCGTCTTGGTTGCGTATCTCTCTCCAAAGTTTCACGTCGTCGGCAAAAAAAAATAAGTCTGACGTTACCTGTTGAGGAAGATCATTTATGTAGATCAAGAAGAGAAGAGGCCCTAGTACTGAGCCCTGGGGGACCCCACTAGGACATTCCATAGCCTGAGATAAAGTGAAATTAACCCTAACCTTAAAGTGTCGATTTTTTAGGTATGAAGTAAGCCAATCGATTAGAGGTGGTTTGATAGCTAGTCGTTTGAGCTTGTTGATAAGACACAAGTGGTTAACCTTATCAAAAGCTTTTGAGAAATCAAGGTAAATGACGTCAACCTTTCCCTTTCAATCGAGGATGCTTGTCCATTTGTCCACCGCAGTCAGCAGGTTGGTTATACAAGAGTAACCCTTCCTGAAACCATGCTGTTGGGGTGAGAAGAAATTTATGGACAGTAGATAGTCATTTAAACCGTCGCATATCAGGGACTCCATGAGTTTTGAAGGTAATGACAGAAGAGCCACCGGCCGATAACTTGAAGGTTCATAGCGTCGACCACCTTTGAAAATTGGTGTGATGTGAGCCAACTTCCAATTTTCCGGTAATTTGCCCCGGCTAAGCGAATGTGAAAACATCACGCTAAGCGGCGTTGCCAGGATTGAGGCTGCCTCCCTCAGTATGGCAGGATGAACCATATCCGGGCCAGGAGAAGTACGTTGTCTTAAGTGCTGCAATTTCCGGAACACCAAGTCAGCGCTTAGGTCCACTTCAGAAAGTCCTGTGGAGTTGGAGATGAAACTGTCGTCAATAAAGTTGATGTCAGCCGGTTGAAATGTTTGAGAGTAATGGGCCGCCAGAAGGTTAGCGGCGTCGCCATCGTCGTTGGTCGGGCCGTTAAGACCTTGCAGTTGAGAAACCCCTGTTTTGGCTTGACGAAGAGAGGCTGCATAACGGAATAGGCTTCTAGGGTTAGAGGCGAATTTGTCCATAAGCTTTGTTTGGTACTGAAGCCTGTCTTCTCTTATAGCCTTCGTGCATGTGTTCCTGATATATTTGTATTGCCTATACGCTCCATCGTTATTAGTTCGTTTGTATTCCGCCCAACAGTGCCGTTTGCGGCTTAGGAGGCGAACGGTACGGTTCTTGATTACTGTAGGTGGCTTGCAGCTTTTGGGAACCGTTTGAGGAACTGAATGGTCTGTAGCACATAAGAGCCTGTGCAGTAAGAAGTCCCAATGACCATCCACATCGAGTTGAGGGTGAACATCCCAAACCACCTGTTGTAGATAGTCATGTAGAGCTGGCACATTCAGCCGTTTGAAATTCCAACGCAAATTATTGTTGGGATACATTAGCTTAGTTTTGATGACAAAACTGAAGGCTATGACGGCATGGTCGCTCTTTCCCAGAGGAGCCAGGATTGAGAGGTTGTCGACTAGGAATTCTTCGTTAGTGAATACACAGTCTAAGCGCGATGGTGTCTGACTGTTTCTCCAACGTGTTGCCGACCTCACATTTTCATATAAGCCCAAGTTATCGATGAGGTTGAAGAACCGAGCTTCAGTTGAGTTGTCGCCTCCAGTGTACGTGTGTTCCGCGAAGTTGACTCTAGGGAGATTAAAGTCCCCTAGAATCAGGATGTGTGTGAAACCGAGACGGATAGAGCGGGATAGTCCTTCCAGCATACGACTATCGTACTCGGTGTCGGCAGTTGGCTTCCTGTAAATGACTCCGACTAGACACCTGGAAGTACTAGACAATCTTACAGAGCACCATATGGATTCCTCAAGATTGTTAAACTCGAGGTTGTGAGCCTGGTGCACCTCCAAGCAAGAGCTTATGTATATGGCTACTCCGCCCCCAATTCCTGTTTTTCTGTCGTTGCGGAACAAAGTCATCCCAGGTAATGCTAACTCTTGGTCCGAGAACTGAGAAGATATCCAGGTTTCAGATATTCCTATCAGATGTGCCTTATTAGCGTTGCTAATTTCACGTGGTTCATCCAGTTTGTTTGGTAGACTCGCGGCGTTCATATATAAGCAGTTTATGATTTCAATTTGGAACGCGTGAGCTTCGTCCTGTTTTTCTATATAGACCTTATGTGAATGGACAGGTAGCCCACCTATGTGAGGTTTGCCGAGGTGGTAGGCCCTGTCAAATTTGCTAGACAAGGTTAGCGGAGGATTCGCTTTTTCTGAATTGCGTGCAGGAAAGAAAGAGCATTCTTGCTGAATGAGATTTATAATTCTTGTGATGTTTCATTTATACCTGAAGGACGATAGCATTAGATAATGATTAGAGAAGTAGTCAATGAGTGCTCTCTTGTCAGTGCCTGCTGAAATGTGTTGTTAAAAGGATCAACAGAAAAGTATTCACTGTCGCATGCTGTGAGGAGTTTCACAAACACAAAAAAATTTGCATGAATTTTGCCTGTACTCTAACAGTAAATAAATTCAAGAAATAAATAGTTCAGTAAGTCTTCGACATTGATGCTGACTTCGCTAATTTACCTGGACACACTAGCTGAAGGTGTTCGACCACACATCCATAATGGACGGTGATTGGATACGTCGTAAGTCGAATCCTCGCGACAACTAGCTAGCATAGTTCACTCACTTTTCGAAATACCGACTGCCATTCAAATATAACCTCGAATTTCTTCATTCCTGACTTCTGGTATGACTGGATTTGAGATTCTTTGGTTATGAAGGCCTAACCATCGACACAAATCAACCACAGTGGTATTCTACAACAGGAACAATTTTTCCATCTGGGAAATAATTCAGTTCATGTTACTAACGACTCGATAACTTTGTAGCGGTAAGTAAATCCCCAAAATAAATAGCTGTGTAAATCATCGAAATTTGATGCTGACTGCATTAGTTTTAATGGACTCACCTAGCTGAAGGCACTTGGTAACGCATCCACTCCAGATCACGATTGGATGCTCTTTGTTTTGCCTCTCCTACAACTGTTAGCCAGCTTAGATTAGTCACTTCTCGATATATCGATAGTCTATCAAATATATCTACGAAACTATTCGCTTCTGACTTCTGATTTCACTGGGTTGGCATATTTCGATTATGAAAGGTATTACTGGTTAGGGTGTTGTCAAACTCCGAATACTTGTGGCTTGTTTAGCTATTATCTTACTAATCTGTCATTTGGAATACTCATGTAGGCGTAATTGTCTTTATATACGCAGACAGCATTAGTAATTTCGCTAGTCTCCCGAAGTCTATAGCGATATTCGTGGGTTGACTGCTCCTACCTTTGACTGCTTTCCTTATACTTTACACGTTATACTCCGTATGCTCATGGATTTCAAGAATATTCTGTGCAGTTTTAAGACGTGAAATTGAAAATGAAAACTAGTTAATAAATATTGGGAGACATTAAAAGGAACATATCAGTTACGTTGTTTAAGCATATTTTTTCAGTAGCATCTTCATTATTTACGCAATTACATCACAATATTAAGTAACAATTTACTCTCTGGAGCAAAATTCAAGTTTGTCAGGGTGAGTATGGAAAAAAAGGGCAGGTACTATTATCCTCTTCAGTTATAAAGAGGAACATTAACACGCACAACTATAATGTATCAGTTCATTGTAGATAATTTCCGACTAATCTTGTTCATGCAATTACGACCTATGAGATAAAGAAATTTTGAGCCATTTCCAGAATTGTGTGAGTTTCTAGTTAAATTCAAAAACTGTATATATTTGCATCTATGTATATATAGTCCAGCCAATTCTCCCTATGGCTTAACTATGAATTGACTGTTCACTTGATTTCCAAAAAAATTTGTGAGAAATGAAATATAGGAATTTGTCTTTAAAGTTTCTTGCTTGAGGATCATTCTGTGCATTCTATTTAGCCTAGAAGCTGGCTTGGTACATGTGCAGCGCAATTCTACGTTCAGAATATTAAGCGAAAAGAGATTATGTGATGATTGGTAGTATTTGAATTATTGTACAACCTAGTAATTTCCGAAACAACGCAATCCAAGCCACAAATAACTAGGTGAGCACAAACGAATGTATCGTGTTTAGAATTCAAAGCCAGGTGGTCATCAAGTACAAAAGAATCATTAGTTTATACAAGCACCACATATTACTCAAGTACGGTCATAAAATTAAATACTTTTAACGTCTTTGATTAAAATGTCTAATTTAATCGTCAATATGAGGGAAAAACGAACGACACTTGCTCTTTACATTGGCATAGAAAAATATTTTTCACAGGATTTTAGTCACCAATCCTATTCACTCAGTTAGGTAATCAAATTTCCAACAGCGATACACGTTTTCAACAAACGGGAAACGTTATTTGTTCCTCTTAATAATTGTGAAACCAGTCAATCAAATAGTAGCTAGCAATAAAACAGTTAGTAAATATGGTAGCCACCGAAATCCAGTGACTGAATAAGAAATAATTAAGACAGTAAGAGAAAAACCGAAAAACAAAATTACATGCAAAATTAATGATGGTAATTTTATATCAACCAAAAAAACGAAGTGAATATGTAAGGATAAAGACATCAAAAATTCCAAGTTAACACAGTGTACTTATTCTATATGTAAATACCCTACTATACTCAAACATTTTTGTTCTGATGAGCAGTGGAGGCGTTTGTTAATATTCTGACGATTTGTAGAATGTGATCGCTGCTACCAAGTCCAAAACACTGGAGAGTGGAAGCATATCTCTCATACAAGACAAAAAATCCTGTTTACAATGGTGCACGAGCAGCATTGTAGAAATATGTATAAATTTAGCATCCATATACTAAGGTCGATAGTTCTAGTGTCTTCAGGTATTCCTTGATGTATATGAATTTAAGAATAAAAATGATGCCGTAGTTCCTTAGTGAATCCTCAGTAGATTTTAATTCATTCCTGAAAATAATCATTTATACGAGTCAGTGTTAGACTTTTTACAAGTTGTGAATTTCATTTTGTTTTTATTCAAAGCCATCCTAATTTGACTTTTATAAAAACCGGTATAATAAGTTCTGAACGTATTTTCAATGTAAAAGATGCACTCTAAACGGAACTGTTACATCCTTGGTCTGTCTACCCAATAGTATGCAAGAGAGAACTCGTCTCGATCTAGATTAGGACCTGGACGCGATAGGCTTGTAGTGACTTACTTTTATCACGAGAACGCGGTTGGTTTAATGAGAACAATTATTATTATAACCGATTGTAGCAGTGCTTGTTTTAATGTGCTCTTTGTTTAACTGTGCTAACAACATCCGTTATACTTACTTCGATTGTGACCTCGCGCGAATCCGGTTACGCTCAGTAACCAAGCTTGTATCCTGGCACGATCTCGGTATCCTTTCGATACCACGAGATCGCCAGCAAATATATCTCGACTTGGTCCATTAACTGCCTTCTGATATTTGGCTTCCGGGGGATTTTATGGATATCCTGGCACGCGTTCCTTTGTAATGGTGTTCATAGTCTACCGCGACTCGGCACCACGCTACAGGCTAGCTGGTTTAACCTTGAGGCTGGGAATACGTGAGTCCGAATTTAAACTAACTGCCTTAGATAGAGAGACGAAAATCTATTCTATCGCCTGATTGACTGACAAGCAAGAGAGAAAACGATTCAACTGGAACAGTACTCGATTAACTCCTGATTCCGATTCCAAATTTCAATTCAGTTTAGTGTAAAAAGATACAGTAATAAATAAATGACTAAAATGACCACAAAGTACAAGCAATTAGAAAAACACAATTATGTTCAAACTCGGCATTAGGGTAGAAAAATAGAGTACCCAAGGTTACATTTAGGCTACAATAGCTTTTGAACAGAAAAGAATATGGCAGTGAATCATAAATCAAACCAAAGCTTATTGTCTGTAGAATAAACTAGGATTCAAACTAAATGTTGGTGTTTTACAAGCTTTGAATTAAGTGAAATAACGTCCCCAAAATAGCTTACGTTGTTCGTCATAGCTTTTTTGTTTCTCTGTTCACATCAGAAACTCACATTATACTTGTTTTGAAATAATTTCTTCTATCTATTCAGTACTGCATACTGAACAAACTTTTATTATATTTTGACCATTGATTAAGTTCTATGATATAGTGAAGAGTCTGTTTAACTGTCACAGAACTTTACTAATTATCCTAGATCATAGTCAATTCCTTTATGATTATATTACCAGAGTAATGTTCTATTATATATGAGGTTGTAAAATAATTAATATATGAAATAAATTACTTCAGAAGATTCGTACTGAAGTCTTTCACTTCGAATAAATATGTAAAATATTCATAATTTTCATTTTCCATAGTGTTTTCAGTTTGTATTAATATTGGGGATTTAATACCATGATGTGTTTGTTTTTTTAATTTTCTCGTTGAATACTGATCATTTCCATTGAAGCAATTTTTTATTTCTGAACATTTTTAAAGTCGTTGTTCTGACTAGTGGTACTTCACATAAAACTGTTTCATATTTTTCATTGAAGATTTATCATGGAACTTTTAATATTTTTGTTCACGTTTATCTACTATTATTCTGATGATAGAAGAAAGTTTGAGATGAGATTACTATCATTCACTGAACTAAAAGTGTTTCTTTGTGTTTTTTTTTGGTTTGACTCTTTATATTGAAATAACGTTTTGAGATCTGAAAAATTCCTATAAAATCACATTTTAGTGGTCCGAGATCTGATTCCAGTTAGATCGTATGAATGATCGTTGTTAAAATATACATCCTGGATATCCTCGTATATAATCATCGACTTTACTCGGGTTAGTGAATAACGGAATTAACAAAGTCAAATATGAGAATGGATTTCGAATACATACATTTCATACAATCATTGATCCAAACAAACGATCGGCGAAACGAAACGAAGAAGAAAAAAGCGAAGCGAAATGATGTGCGGTGGACAAGGCATATAAGCCAGTTCGATTTAACCGAATGCGAATCGATATTTATAGTCGAACAGAAATAAGTTACAGACATGTGATGAATAGAGTAAACGCACACATATAGAAAGCAAATAATTAACAAGATCAAAATGTGACTCAAGAAGGATTGATGAACTAGTCTATTAGAAAGCTAGAATAAACTATGTGAACCTAACATAGCAACTGGTACTACAACATAAGTTGAAATACACCGATTAGTATAAAGATTAATAGATGAATAATGATTTCTTTGTGAACGATTCAAAATATAACATTTATCTTTTGGAGATTTACTGAAACACATTATAATTAATTGCTTTGTATAAATAAATAAATAAATAAATATTTTGCATTATTTTGTTAGCTTAATAGTTTGTTTTTAATTAATGTAACTAAAATAACTTAAATTAGACTATTAATGTTATTTAATTATTCTAAACATGAATTTCTAGCATGAGCAGATTTGTTAGTTCCTTTATAAAAATAGGTTATTGAAAATTCTGTTTCATAAAAGGTCTCTCTTGAATTTAAGTTGAATAACTTAAATGTAATAGGATTATTCTTGCTTAAACCTAGCATAGATGATAAAACATATCGCATATACTTTGCCCATCATAACTGAACAAATGTTTGTATGTTCATAATTTCGTTGAAATGTTAGTGCGTCAACAGAAAATCATCAATTCAGTTTCTATGCTAGCTGACAGTCACCTGCAAGAGGTATTTGAAATCTTGAGACAAATGTTTGCTGAGTTACCTAGTGTTACTGTGGGAAACGTTAGTAGTGAACTATTTAGGCAGTGACTGTCTCCCTATGGCACTGAGATTTTAAACAGGTTTGAATCTTGATGACTCCTCACAACACCCTATAAACTTAGCATAGTGCACGGGATTTCGAGTCGATTAAGCTAGTTGCCACACTATAACTTGATCTGCATCATTTATTATGGATTATACGGGCATGTCTTTATTTATAATTCACTGACCGATCGGTATCAAATATTCATATATTCGATATACGCAGAGATAATAATCTAGCAATTACTTTAAGTTCACTTATCAAATTATACGACTTCTTAGCTTTGGAAACCCGGAAAACATATCGTTTGTCAATTTCATGAATGACAGTCTTTTGTTTTTACCAATTCGCTTAATCTCGTTTATTCATTTAGTTTTATTCGAATTTTATTGTTTAATTTTATAATCACTTAGTGTCATAGTCTACACGTGGAGTTATTCCACATCTAACTGTACGAATCCTGTTGTTACTGCGCTTTTGGAAATTATCAAGAAAACAATATTTCGTTAATTTTGAACACTTTATTTTCAAGGCTAAAGTCCTATTTAGGACTTGTCATCTGGATGTACTTGCATCCCAGAGTTGATTTTACTCCGGGACTACGAACTCAGAACCGTTTCCTTCAAACGCCATCGTGTTATCCACTCGACTACTGAGTCCTGACAGACAAACTCAGCTGACGAGTCCTAAGTATGACGAAACGTGAGTCCTGGGTTCCAACGTATGCCACTATCTATCTTTGTTTATAAAGCTTGTGACTTAAAACGATCCGCATAAGATGCACATATGCCGATAAGAGACTGTGCAATTGCAGGTTTAAACAACAACGAGAAGATATAAGCAAACAATACCAAATGAATTATTTCATAATGTTTATTCATTTTTCGGATAGTAAATAATATCCGATTAGTAATGATGAAATTGACACACATTTTTTAGTCACTTTTTCATCATACTGTTCTATTCCTTCAAACAATCAATAATATGTTCAAAAGTTATCTGACTATTTGTATAGTATTGATCTTCCTTACAATGTATAGAGTTATCAGACTGAATAACATAGCTTTCTCTTCAAGGAATTTCTTGTAGTTACTTAAACCAATTAATAACTTCATGATCTTGAATTTATTTTCTAAAAAAAATATATATCTCTATATTAAAAGTTATTTAGGTTGCATATAAAGTACACTTTTGTATTCGGCAATTAGATTATCAAGTTTAAGCAAAATATTTTACTATATTTCGAACGGCATATATCTCTAATGTTGTATTCAATTAATGATAAAATATTGATGGGAAAGTAGCATTTAGTTAATCTCTGAAATAATTAGAATATGAGATTCCAGTTTATAACTTATATCTCTTGAATGAAAGTTATTGTAATTCAGAACATATGCTTTTATTCAAGTTAAAAATAAATTTAGGTAACTATGTGAGTAAAATGATGAATATTCCCTGACAGAAGTCAAATGATTTGTGTTAATCAATGATAAACCTACATAATCTGAATTACAATTTAGTAAGTTACACATATTATTCAACGATTTCTTTCGAGATTGGTAGTCCAGTGCTTCCAGATTTCCAACGGTGGTCTAACATCAATAAGTTCATGATCTCAATCAGAGTCTGTAATGGTATATATTTTTGGTTTGTTAGATTTGCGCATATATATTGTTGGTTTAATAATGAACATATATGAAAATCGATATGATCGTTTCCATGTAACAAACCATTTGATATGTCAACACAAATAAAAATGAATGTTAGCCCTTGTTTAAATGACAATATGACCATACTGATTAGCAGGGATGATTGAAACTTCTTAGTCATATATTGTGAATTCACTATAATAAAAATAATGTTTATACAGAGTAAGGGATATCAGCCACCATATGAACTATAAAACTAAAGTATAAAACATTGAGTATGTTATCTGTTTATAAAACTATTATGTATAAGTCGCTGAAAAACTCAAACGAAGTTCTCCAGTTTGATAAAAAACAAAATTTTTGAGGGTGCTAGGATTTTTGACATGAATCCTTTAGAGATTTTATTTAGTAACTGTCTATGACCAATCTGTTTCCGATTAGTGATTTTTCTAATGTAAAAGACAAAAAATCTATTCTTTTTGGTTAAAGAATTGTTTTAATTCGGTCTTACAGTTTCTTATTTTGGAAATCTACATCTGCTGAACATCAATCGCATTTTGGAGTAAGCTTATTCAAAAATAATGAAAAGCTTGAATGCTTAACACATTCAAAACAATTCATAGAGAGAACTGAAAAGTCATACTGATTAAAGCTTTAATACCATTGAGTCTATCCACTAGTCTGTTTTTCAAATTAATCCAATTCGATGGTTTTCCAATCATTATCATACCTTATTTGATTGCTTTTCAATTAAGTAAACCTGTTCTGTGTATCCTTACACTCATTATGAGTTGATCCAGAACAAAATATTTATATAACATACAAACCTTTGTCAATAATTCCCACTTCCTTTAATATCAGTCTAGAACGTATGGCCACTATTTAAGTCATTAAAATCTCTTACAAATCACCAAAGGGATCATAAGAAAAAAGGATCGTAACCACATTAATTTATAAGACTACATTTTTAGAGGATAACTATCTTCAGGAAAGAAAATCAGTTCGAGGTACTGTCATTTATTTATACCCAATGTCAAAAATCTTATCTTCAGACATTCGTAACTTATATAAAATATCGTCAGAAGTAACTCATCATTCCGATTGACTTTCCAGATTTTATTGAATTAACCAAACTGATGAGAACTAACTGGTTAATGATAACTGAATAATTTCATTTATTAACGGTCAATCAATATTTAAGTGAATAGATAATTGCTTTTCTTTTAATTTAGTAGGACATTCAAGTTTAGTTATTATGACTTAGTTCATGTGATTGACGTGTTGGTTTGTTTGTATATAAGCAATGAATGAATTAATGACCTTGTAGTATATCATTTATTGATCAAACTGGTAGCTGAAATTAAATATTCGTTGAAGAAATAGAACATTGTTTTTCAACGTCAAACTGTTAACATGCTGCTAAACAATTACTGTAAGTAGTGACAACTTAATGACATAATGTAAGTGTAACCTAAAGAACAAGTACTTGTCAGTTTAAGTAGGAAATTTTGCATTCAATCAAGAGTTTTAACAGGGGTGGATGCTCATGTTTAAATTTGATAGTTGATGATTCGTAATGGTAGACCATTTTCCACTATTCACGAATTATCATTCATTTATTTGTGAATGTATTCATTGGAGATTGAATTCAGAATGCGAAATAATAAAAACAATATTTCTACGTGGTTCATAAATCTATAAAACTAATTCCGTAAAAGTTTCATTTTTAAATGTCACTTAGGAAACAGTCAATTAGAAAATCAAAGAAAAATGTTTATCAAGTTTTAGATAAGAAATAAAATATGTAAGATAAAGAAACTCAGCGCCTGTGTTTGTATAGCTTAGGTCGACTGATTTAAAATGTAATGTGAAATAACTAATTCTGTCTCTGGTCAATATGCAGTGAACGAGAACTCAGGTGGGGAAGATAAGTTTATTGTTTAATGCACAATAACACAGTGATTAAGTAAAGTGTGAAAATCGTGCATTAAATAAATTATGTTAATATCTTCCTTCACTTGTCCTTCACATACTTCATGATCCTTTCAATTCTGTTTTTATTCCAATTCCCTTCTGTTCTCTTCAGTTCAATCTTCTTTTGACAAGCATGTCACTTCTGATTGGCGTTACATACTACTTACATCTGCCAACATAAGTACCATACACCACAAATGTATTCACTGTGACCACTTCTCTCAGTGAGTGGTAGTCAATTGCATCTACTTAATGCGTTAATTGAAGATGTATTTCAGTGATAGAATGAGAAGTATCGATTTGTGTTTATTTTCTGTAATTGAATCAAACACAAATTAGAATAGTATTTTTTGAAAATTAGTTTCACTTACTTTCTTACGTTATATTCACACTAACTGTACATAATCTAAGTAGCCAATTTTTAAAAAATGTACGTATTTAACCACTGTATAAAAATAGTTTACATATACTGCTTTAAAATATCCAATTCACGCATAGAAAATATTGGAAATGTTTTGATCATGAATTCTGTTTTCTTTTTGTAAATCATTGGTAACTCAATTATTAAGAAATTTATGACAATGATGACGATGATGTCTTTGATGAAATCTTGTTCTTCTAAATTCTATCGGTTTAAATCTTAGATTCTTGTAAAAGTAAAATATATATTGAAAAGAGCAAGAACAAACATTCTAGCAGAATAGCATGAATTCATTTTTATTTCGTTGGTTCTCGTCAGCTGCTTACAACCTGTGATATTTAAAATCATAATTAATGGGTTAAAATTACTTACATAAAAGAGTTTGATTGGAAGTTATATTAAAGACTATTGTGGAGGCCCGTTATTTTAATCGTCATTTAGACCGGACGATGTTGTCGAAAGGGCTCTCCACTTTAGTGGCCCGAGATCTGACTTCAAGGAGATCATAATGATGGTTATTGTTGAGATATATATGTCGCCTATCCTCGTATATGATCATCGACCTTATTCGCGTTAGTCAATAACGGATTTAGATAAGTCAAATAACGAGAATGTATATGAAGCGAATGGAATAGAGAGAAGAGAAACGGCGGGTAGAGGAGATGGTGGATAAGCCAACTCCCATTTAACCAAACGTTAATCAATATTTATAGTTGCACAAAAGTAGGTTACAGACATGTGACGAGTAATGGGATAAGAAATGTACACATACATATGAGCTCATATAAAAACAGTCAAGATTGATAAGCGAGTAATTACCATGGTCAAAATGAATAGAATGGGTTGTCCAAAGCTAGAATAAGGTATATGGGCTTAACATAATAACCGACACCAATATATATATATATATATATATATATATATATATATATATATATATATATATATATATATATATATATATATATATATATATATATATATATATATATAACTTCATTAATAATTAAATTCGAAATGCTTTGTTTGTACCGTAATGGTTAGCAAAAGAAGTTCCGTAAAACTAAATCTTTGATGAATCAAAAATAGAATTCCAGGTCATAAATGTCACCAAAGTTTCAAAATTATTAGTTCATTTGTGTGATTCACAAAATCCTATTTCTCATGGTCCTTTGTATTGAAATCGTCTTTAAGCATAGTTTAAATTTTGTGGTAGATCTTTTTGCATATAAACCAGTTACTTTAAATAAATAGGTTTGGATAGTCCGTTGTATTGTGTTGTAATATCTGCTCATTTAAAAGATGTGTGTGATTGATTTGGTTTTTTATGAATGATTAATACAATAAACTGAAATACCATCCCATCGGATCTAAAAGAGTAATTTCACAATTGTTGAGCGTTTGGTGTATAAAAAAATGCAACATATGGATGATGGCTGTGCACTGCTAAGGAGTCCCAAACTGGGATAAAACAGCCGTTCAGTGGTTCTAGGTTTTCCATGGTGGTCTAGCTTAAATCGACTCATGAATTCAATTATTAAACTAAAATATAATAACCCGAAATTTCACTTGACAGTTTAGTACGATCCTCTTCAAGATAAAAAAACTTCTATAGGATATAAATAAAGTCAAAAAGCAAGCATTCACTCAACAGTTGTCTGATCATTTTGAGATATGGAGTAGAGTTTAATGTATGCATTGATGTTGACAATCTTCCATTATCAACAGAGTAGTGTGGATAAAAATCTCTGATATAAAACAAGGCACTTCGAACAATATAATTCTACCATGTAAAATGCAATAGTATGATCTTGTCCAAATGTATATTTTGCTTAAACGATTACAAACAAAAAACCTCCTGATCGACTTGTATCATTTATTTTTTATACTAGTGATAATCATATCAATGTATTAAGCATTGGCCTTTAAAGGTGCTCTTAGTATGTTGGTATAAAGTAGGTAAATAACTTGTTTCCCATAATGACTATATCGATTGAAACTCAATAATCATCAACCAATTTTCTAGATCCAAAACCTAATAAGTCGCTTAATTCCATTGAAAGCTTACAATAAAATTTTAAAAAAACGTTATATAAAACAAGTCGCATCCAGAATTACTGTATTATCTGTTTTAACAAACCATCTGAAAAGTTATAAGTACTGTGGTGCGTGCTACTTATATTGATATAAGTAGTATATAATGCGAGTCAGGAATGTAATGTCTGGCAGCAGAAGATGGGAAAGACCAAGAAAGGAAGAACGGGAATAGAAAGCAATTAGTATGGAAATGCAAGAACAACGAAGTTCGAGACAATTATTGAACATTCTGCAAATTAAGTATTATAGTATGATTTTTCTATTTTACCAAGTAACTATGTAGTGTTGTGTTAAAAATAATTCTGTTGTCCTCACCTGTGTTCTCTTTCACTACAGTACTACTAATCGTATAACATTACTAATAGGATACATGGGGTTTACAATAATTCATTATCTAATGTCATTATTGATTTATTATCCAGAATGATATTTATTAACTCAAGGAGGGTAAAAAAGCTTATTTTTTTTGTTTAAGGACAATTCCCCTTCTTTCATTTTAAAGTTCAAGGATTAAATTCTGAATAAAATAAGATCAAAGAATAGATGTATAAATGTGACATTAATTTAGTTACTACTTTTTTTATATCAATATAAGTACAAATCACTAAGGCTTAATAAAAGAGCACATATGTACAATTGATTGTATTGTCAAAAGAATAAACCAATGGGCTGATAACTAGGATATACAATTATCTCTATGACCTGTCTATTTATCGCCCGTTAAATTTTATCATAAAAATAAACTGCTTATGAGTCAATAAGTAGAAGATATTTTCTACTAGTAGTTTACATTTAAACATTATAGTGAAGTATTACTTGGAGATTATTTTCATAGACATTTATTATGTCATATTAATTATTAACAATTGAATATATTGAATTGAATTTCTATTAATTATGTTGGTAAATAACTATACTGTAAAAACATAATCTCAATTTGATTTCTATTATATGAATACAGTGTATTTGATATTAATTCGTATTTTATCAATGACTACACAACGGTCAGTATTTCGACGAAGACGTTCATCATCTTTATCAACAATAAATACTAGTTATTCAGATGATGAAGATTTTTGGTCTGCATCTTCTTCAAGAAAAACATCGAAAGATTCAGAATATAAGAAGAAAATAAGTTTGTCAGCTGTTCAATCATCCAATGAATTATATATTATGAATCCTAATGATATATCAAATGAAATTGAGGTTAGTTAAACTTTGTCTGTATGAATATTTTTTTCTAAAAAAATAATCAATGTGGTATAGTGATACGAATATTTACTTTGCGTTAGTGGTATCACTGGGATATCCTTCAACAAGGGCACATACAAAAGGACAAGTATTAATAAGAGTGGGTATGAAAGATGACTCGTACAAGAACGACTATCACAAAGGTGACCTAATAATCCAGATGTAAATCTTATTTACATTTCTTGACTTTGTAGCACAATTTAATGTATAAATGTATAAAATCAAACTGAGTGCTATTTCACGTAAATATTCTGGCAATTATCTGTTCCTATAGTCTTCTAAAACCAGTTTAATGTGCTTTGCTAAGTCATCGTGCTTCTTATTTTCGTACTGTAGCTGGATTCATGGGACGAAATATCCAAATTTCAACTCATTCAGCATTATTCCTTCTTTTTAAATGCTAGAATGAAGGTATTCAGTGAGTTGATTGCACCCAACACTGTTGGCGTTGCACAGTACAATTCAAAAAGTAAATCGGTTGAGGCCTCTCCATGCTGTAGGTTTCCTAAACCGATTGTCTTCGGAGTAATTTGTTATCCCTTATTTCTTCATTTTTTACAAGAATAGTGACCCCATTTGACTGTCAAATGTAATTTTAACATCTGGAGACGGAAAAAAGCAAACTTTTGTAACTGATGAATGTGTAAAGCATAATGTTGATCTGTAGTATAACTTCGTTGATGGTTAAATGATTGCTGTAGCCTCAGCTATATACATTGGCTTAGATGGAACGAATAACCTTGTTGCACTGCATTTGAATAAAGTATTTGAAATACCAATTTGGTTGAATGATTGCAATCAGTTATAATAACTGATGGATTAAAAGTTAATTTTAGTTCATTTAATTTCTTAAAGATGTGCACGTACGAATTAGTACTTTTATCGCTTGTTATATTGATAAACAATAAGTTAACGAGATAAAACGTCATAGTCTAAACAGTGTAGATCTACATGAACAAATATGAAGATATCTTGCGTATTGCAAAATGATATCAATGACGAAATCCCCTAACAATCCCATATTTTTAGTTGTAGAAATATAAAAATTAGTTCTTCATCTGATCTCCTATCATTCAGAAGGAAACACCCACCTCTCGCAGTTGGCTCCTATTCGGACAAGCTTGTTGATGTACCATCTGAGTTTAGATTTGGTAAATTTAATTGAAGGCCATGACAAATTTTATGCTCCATCCGCACCACAGGCAGTAGTTGAGTTAACACCCATCGAAAGAACCGGTAGATGCCATAGGTACAATCAGATGGGTTGCTTCTGTTGAAGAAGTTCGATCTTCTATTATTCTGACTGCGCATTTTGCATCTACCCTAGCTTTTTCAGAAATGTGGTTATATTCTATTACCTTCTCTTAAGTACATTCACAGTTCGTCTAACAGCGCAACTTACACTTGGTTACATGGTATTTCGTAAATCACGAATTCTCATCATTAAGTACGTTCTCTTTTCGGAAACAGTAAAATATTAAAACAAACCTTCTTTGTTACTTTTTATGTACCCTAACTGTATTTCAGAAAGGCATAAAAAATAAAATAATCCATTTACAAAATAATAGTTACTAGTTCATCCAACTGATTACACTTTCACTTGAACTAATTATTGTAACTTCATTGAACATCTGTACGTTTTCTGTGGCTGCCAATTAAGTCATTTCGAAATTAAATGCTACTTGCTTTTCATGTGCCTCCTTTTGATGCTCGTTCTCATGAAATTCACCTTATTTGATAATCACCCTATTGAATCAAATCTTTATGATGCACGTCATTTCGACTCGTCTTTACAGAAGTAAAGTTACTCGAAAACAAGACAAGAAACCAATAAATGTGATATTTAATACAATGTTTGATGATAAAATTATTCATTGATTTATAATCCCATACTGTATATGATTTCAAAGAAACCCTTATCTAGAGAGTTTTGATACACAGTTCCTCTCATTGAAAATAAAAGGCAAATCATATCATTAACATATAGCATTTATACACTTAGTGAGCAAGTAGTTTTGGTGAACTGTCATCTATAAAGTAGTAAGTAACGCTTAAAATAACTGAATATATATGCGATCATATGGACGTGATGTTCATATTTAGTACAAAGTTCAGTCAATCAATACCTTACCATACTAAAATCTGTGTTAAACACTTAAAGGTAAATAGCATCCAATGATATTTTAACAAGGCGAAAGTGAAATGAAGAGAAATGAGTATTTCATTCTGAATCAAATTTTTCAACATAGTAGTTCTTGATTAAATTACCCTATTATTTTTGTTGACCCACCTCAAATATCTTATACAGCACCATGGAAATATATAACATTGAAAGAATTAACAAAATGCCTTGATTGTGAACGGACAAGCCACCAGTTTGAAAATTACCGGAGAATAAAACAAATTAATCAAATAATAAATTAGTGTTTAACTGTGCAATTATTAGCAGGCAATATATATATTGTATATATGACTAAATAACAGCCCATTTATTTGGATTAAATGGCCATATATTTGAAATAACACATGGCAAATCCATCTTTATTCGTTAATGATGGGAAAGAGTTTAAAACATTTCTGACTGGAATCTTAATTGGTTCAATACTGAGATATACATAATCATGTATTAGTTTCAACAATTATTTGACTAAACTCATATGCTTTAGAAAGAATAAACTATTCACATTTAATCTAAATTACTTTCAAGTCTCTAATCAATCCGTAATTTAAAGCTTCCATGTTTATGAGTATCGCCACTTATTGTTCATCATATTTTTGTTAAAAAAGCAGTTGAATGTGTCTTTCGGTTCCCTAACTTTATTTTAATGTAAGAATAATAAAATAAAAAAGCCTGAGTTCACGATAGAGTTTGAACAGGTAAATTTTGGATAACCACCAAACTGTCCAACTGAATTTGTGACCAGATTAGAATAACAATTATATGCTTAACTGCTGTATCCGAATATTCTTTGAACAACAAAAATAATCAGACAGTTGATTTAATTAAGTCCCACCAGTTGTGTTTCCAATAACCACAAGGAGAGTAGGCGTATGACGTTTTGATTGGAATGAAACAAAAAAAACTGGTTGACATTGGAAATTTCTAATCACAGTTGGACAATGATAAATAAGAGAACTACAGAGTTCCTCATAACGACTTTATATTCATGATAACTGTAATAGTCACCCCTCTATCATATATAGTATGATTGCTAAGTTTATAAATCTTCCGTCAGAAAAACAGATATTCAACTATCATCAAGATCCGTAAAGCGTAATTAAGTTTTCCAGAATACATGTATTATATTCCATACATGAACACTTTTAAATCAAAAGTGTTTCGTATGCTATTGGATTAGAAAAAAATGTATGATCAAGTATTAGAATACTATAAACATTGATAAAGCATCATGCGATCTATTAATAATAACCGCTCAAAAAAAATTTTAAAAATTTATTAGTGTCTCATTTCTTCTAGTAACATTCAATTCTTAGCTTCACAGTTGTAGATTTATATGAATCTAACATAAAACACTATAAGAAGGGGTTTTGTGGATATTATGGTAATTTCAATAGTTGAGATCATGAGTCAATTTAAGGTAGGTTTTCCATTATGGTCTAGCTTCAATTAACTCATGATCTCAACTATTGATAAAACACTATTCTCCCGTTATAATGTATTAAAGTGATATTATTTTTAATCTAGATTTTTTGAAGTAGCCTACACTAAAACGATAGCTCAAACGTAAAAATTGAATACAGGTACTGATGAAATTGAGGATATGAGTTATCATATAGTACAATAATATATGTCCGTCCATAGCACGAATTTCTAAAGCACGTTCTGAAAAGATAGCATTAAATGCATCATAAATTGGGTGAAAAATAAAATTAAACTATTCCTGATTTCGAAGATACAAGTTAGAACGGACAGTTACATGACCAAAGACATAAAAGGCTATTGCTTTAACACATAATCCAACGATTGTCTAGCGTTTTTCTTCATCTATTTTTTGAACACATAAACATTGGTACAAAGGAGAACCGAATACATATGTGACACACACCTGGAGTCTTCGACCTGAAGGTCTGATCCATAAGGCAGTGGAGCAACGTCACGAGATGCACTCCCATGGTAGCCGGTGATCACCAACATGTACATACGTCATTTCTTCCTTCAGGATACCGGAGCCCTTGTGAACCATTGATTTGGAATCAGGGTTTTCCAACTCCTCTAGATGAACCCTCTGTATTCACCAACCGGGATGAAGTGCCAGTCAATCGCTTTTCATTCTTTAAATTTCGTAAACAATACTTCCGTGAAGAGAATTGAGTGAGTAGGACTTTGTTGTGAGTGGCTGTATACACGTAGCCATGTGAGAGCATTTCGCGTGAGAGAGATCACACTCCCCACCCTTGGCTATGCCATGGGGTTTCTAAGAAAAGACATTGATTTGAATAAAATATATATCTCATTCAAACACAGTTCAAGTAAAATTATATGAAAAAATTAGGAATAAGTCAAAGTAACATAGTACAGATTAAATGTTTATAAAACCCACTGATTTATAAATAATTTTTACTCATCAAATTATTCAATTGTACTTAATTCATTACGTTTTTAAGGTTATACTCAAGAAACCAGTAACTGATTTCCAGAAATTTTAGACAAAACTGCAGACTTCTGGGATATCTTTTTTCATGGTCTCAAGTCATTTGGCAAACCAATAAATGACAATAAGTACTGTACAGCTGCCTTGGTTTGTTGTTTAGTCACGAACCCACTATATGGGACCAAATTATTTATCTTAAGTCTCTCATTGAGTAGGACACATTCAAACCTCTGAGTTGAATTCGAGTGATTCACATTACCAGCTATCTTTAATCCAGGGTAAAGCGAGATCACCATAAGATGACACCAAGGGTAACTAATTTATTTACGATCCGTTTACATTTCACCTCTCAACAGAAAATTCCAAATTTACCTCGAAACTAGTCACCAGGAAATTTGTGATTATTTTATATTTGGATATTTTACAGATATCCCTCCTTAAACTTGTTCAGATACAGTTATCAATGATCCTTCAATTGTTATGGATCCATGACTGAAACTATTTTCCAATTAAATTATTAACTACATATCACCCTACTAAAATACAAAGGTATTAGCATCTATACACTTTTTAAAGTCAGTAACTTAGAAAAGTATTCACCTATATTAATAGTTTATTTCCTTCATTTTAGTATTCACGTGAAACTTTATACAACTACAATGAGTCACACACAGTAAGAGAATCTCGAACAAACTCTTTTCAATTCGATAATATTATGTGTCGACGACAATCAGTTAGTCTGCCTGGATTTCATGAAGGATTGAATTCTGGTAAATTAGTATCAAGATTAAGTTTAGTTGGTGATGAACTTGAAGAGAGTTTAAAGGTAAATATAGTGTTTTATTATACATGATTTTTGAAGAGTTATTTTAGTAAATATTATGTTGTCAAAAGAGATACACTTCTAAGGTAATAAGTGCTTGGAATGAGTAGTATTCCACACTCCCTTGAATCCTATTAATAGAAAATTTGATTTTCATTGAAATCATCAACCGCTCTGTGAATGTTTCATACTAGGACGAAACGTTCGCTCAGGGCGTCCAGGTTTCTGATGGTGTTCTAACTTAAATTGGTTCATAATTTCAATGAAATTCAACAACTTCCACGACCTTATACTGAGAAAGTTTGAAAATGTCCTATTGTGGATCTTCATGACATTATCATATAGGCTATCGAATTTGATATAGAACTTTTTATTATTATTACAATGACAAATTGATTAATTCAACAAATTTTTAACAACGTTCCTTTGTATCATAGAGAATGTCAAATGAACTGTTATTTAGAAGAATGAATATTATAGAATAGTTGTGAAACCGTGTGAAATGATAAAATTTAGATCATTTAAATAAAATTCTTATGTTTATATATGTACAAAGTCTTATTTAGAAAAAAATATTACATTATTGATGCTAATTCTATTTTCCCTTACGAAACTAACCATCTTATATAATTTAAACATTGATTTCCATTAATAACGACTTGAAACTCGACCAACAGAATGGTTTTATTCTCTTTTCTTTCTCATTGAAAACAATAATAGGTAAATCAATAGTGTTTAATTTAGTAGTAAGACTGGCGGTGCGTTTACAGGAACAGTAGATAAGATATGAAATGGGTATTGGTAGGCTGAATCATAAATCATTTGAAAGTTTCATTTGGTAACAATCAATGTTAAAACAAGGATTAAATCTACATATTATGTTTTGTTAGTGATTGAATCCAGGATACATGGTTCAACTTTTATGGAATTAATTTTAACGTATATACCTGCATCCGTGTTGATGTTCACAGAGAGATCTAACACAAGTATCCTTTGCTTCAAAAGCATCAGCCACTAGACTGATGAGTTATGTTGGTCACTAACTTTTTCAATGGAATGAAGTGATCAGCAACTCTCCAAAATATAACCAATAAGTAAATCTAAGCAGTATTAAATCATCCGTTCAAGGAATTTATGTACTAATGAGGTTAGTCAGTTCAGTACTAAATTAATACTAAACAGTTTGAAATCATTTAAAGACGAATAAAAATCTATTGTTTACTTTATGGACATGAATTTAAGAAATGACATGAACCCCTCCCTCATCCGTAAATAAACTGAAACTGAATAATATTCTAAGAACAACTTAATGTTATGAAGTTATAACAAAAATTAAACACCCAAGAAGAGATCATTGTAAACAACGTAACTAAGCAACAAAATTGTTGTTATCTTTTAAACCTAATAATTTGTATAGTTATAAGTGTATCATATTAGCTGTATAACAGTCAGCTAGAAAACAACACCATTTCCACTCAGCATTTTCCTTTCAGTTAATTTTTTATCGTAAAATCAACTGTTATGACCAAGTTATACAGTGGCAGTCTGGTGGTTGTGAGTTAATTAAAGGTATTTACGAATTTTAAATTGTATGTGTAGGTAATGATTCAAAAAAATTAACAGATCAAATTATGAGTAAAGAAATTCTCAAAGAGTTCGCAAAAATTCCTAAAATATGAATTATTTGATTGATAATTTAATGCCTATTTTTCTTGGTAAACTGTTTAAGTGTTAACAAATAAGTGAGAATAAGGATAGATAGGAAATTTAGCCTTGGCAACAATGGCTGCTATTTATGAACAGATTCTCTATGTAGAAGAAATTGGCCGGTAATCTGATCACCATCGCGACGATCGTAAATAAAACGGTAAAAGCTGGAAACCATTTATCCAAGTAGTTGGATTCTTTCACATCACGTAGACGTTAATGATTTTAACTACGTGTGGCAGAAGAACAAATTAAATCACAGACCAAATTAAGTCGATTATAATAAGTAGGTTGAAATTTGATGATATTAAATGGATATTCTCTGTCTATTTCATGTCAATTTCAAATTCCTCATTGATATCTATAAACAATAAACCACGAATATCAAGCATTGCTTTTATCACCAATCAACAAGAGACTGGTTATTTGACCAAAACCATAGAATGTAAATAAAAATGGGAATTCTTAATTAAGAACTTAAACTGAACTATGTTTATTAATCTTTCCAATTGTTTAAATGAATATTACTTTGCAATCCGGTCAATTTAATGCTAATTTAAATTCAGTTAGAAGTTTATATGTAATTTTTAATAATTATGTTAGTTGAAAAAAGAAAATAGTGGAAGTCAAATTCCCCATGAAAATGCAAATTTAAATAAACTTACAAATTTACTAATTAAAAGTAAGAAACACTAACTATTCAATGACAAACGTAAATTTAAAATTCAACGGTTGTTTACTTATTTGAAAACATAAATATTGATACAAAGGAGAATCGAATACATATGTGACACACAAGTCACTTAATTTGTGCGTGGGCTATGATACTGATCAGGTACCTGAATCAAAGTAGGTGATTCTTTTAAAGAGCCGTACCCGGAGCAGTCGACCTGAAGGTCTGATCCATAAGGCAGTGGAGCAACGTCACGAGATGCACTCCCATGGTAGCCGGTGACCAATAATAGGTTAATACACCTCTTGTTCCCTCAGGATACTAGAGTCCTTGTGAACCATTGATTTAGAATCAGGGTTTTCCAACTCCTCTAGATGGACCCTCTGTATTCACCAACCGGGATGAAGTGCCAGTCAATCGCTTTTCGTTCTTTCAATTTCGTAAACAATACTTCCGTGAAGAGAATTGAGTGAGTAGGACTTTGTTGTGAGTGGCTGTATACACGTAGCCATGTAAGAGCATTTCGCATGGGGTAGCTGACTCACCCCACCCTCTGCCGTTACTCACATTCCAAATTATCACAATTAAGAAAGAAAAGAATTTTGGTCTGCATGATCAACTATGTTTGTGAAAAACAGAAGTTGCCGGAATAGACATTATTAGGTGTTCAGTAAAACACCTAGTAATGTGAATGTATGACATTGTGTCTTCAGGTTCACTTAAACCGAAAAAGACAATACATGTTTGACAATGTCAGGGTTAATTGGTGTCTATATTGGAAATTCATTTATCACTACAAATTACTTAATAGATTTATGATTACCATAAGACATTACCAGACAAAAGTTTAAACTCAGTGGACTTGTCATGTGGTTGTACTTGTGCTGAGGTTACGAAAAGAACATTGTGATCTTGTTTGCCATGGTTTTCTGCATTCAACTGAAAATTTATAGGAAAATAAAATGTGTTATATTGTGAAGGCATCTGAGAAAATGTATTCTCTGAACATAAAAAATTAAAAACAAATTTGCTGACAGTAAACATTCTATAAATTAACAACAATTTAGTTCACGCTACTGAACTACCCTCATCTATTGCCCACAGTGGATAAGCGTCTCACACCAGATATGGTTGAACTCCAATTATCACGGCCTTCTTGTATATTTGAGTTACGGATTAGGAGTAGTGGACGTGTACTCCCGAAGTGTCCAATATTGAGACAAAACGACTCTTCAGTCCTTTCAAGTTTTCAATGGTGGTCTAAAGAAAACCAGTTGGTGTTTTGAACTAAAAAAATTGTTTAATCTCCACAAGTTTGTCTATTCTAAAAATTAAAACTGCTGATTTTGAGTATCTGAAAACTGATAACGGCAATTAGACTTATTCAATTTATGTAAAGAATCATTTCATATTATTATTGTCATGTTTTAAAATATTTTTTCTCTATTTATCTTTATACTCTATTAAATTTTGTAGAAATCAAAAACCTTACATGAGATAAGCAGTAAAAGAAGATGGACTATATTTGATTGTTCAACATCAAAACCAGAATAATACTAATGATAATAATCCGCTTTATAAACAATGAAGATATGAATACAATGTCAGTAACTGAATCACATTGTTGAAGCATCACTTTATTGAACTGTCTTTCAAATAAACTGTATTCTAAATTAACTTTATTTGTGCACAATAATGTAAAAAGTAAACTAATGAGTTATTTATTTTTCCCACATTTACAAAATACACTTCATTCCTCTAGTAACAAATCTAATATGCTTTTTTTTAAAAAAAAAAATTCAGTCTTTAATCATAACAATATGAACAAACTTATCAATTGTATCCTGTATAAAAAGCACGTGGTAACTATTAATTAATGAATATTGTACTTTCCTGCAAAAATAAAATCATTTTAAAGATGAGAATTTTACAAACAAAACTTTTTTCTTTATAAAAAAAAATTTATTTATTTGTCACCATTAAGATAATTCGAACGATTTACCATTGAAATGAATAAGGAATAAAAATTAATTTTCCTGAAATATAGTTGAAAATTGATATGAAAGTACACTGAGATGATGAATCGATTTAATGAGTATGTATTCTAATTATTATTACTATTAATGTAGTAAAGTGACAAGTTAACAATGATAATCATATTAGATCTAAAGAAAGCAATCTCTTTTGTTTTTGTATTTTTATTTATTTATTTTATTATTTTATTTGAACACATAAATATTGGTACAAAGGAGAACCGAATACATGTGCGACACACAGGTCACTTGATTTGTGTGTGGCCTGTGATACTGATCGGGTGCCCAGACTTAAGTAGGTGGTTTTCCTAGAGACCACACCTGCAGTCTTCTACCTAAAGGTCTGATCAATATGGCAGTGGAGCGACGTCAGAAGATGCAGTTCCATGGTATCCGGTGATCACCAACATTTACATACGTCATTTGTTCTTTCAGGATTCTGGAGCCCTTGTGCAACATTGGTTTGGAATAAGGGTTTTCCAACTCTTCTAGATGGACCCTCCGTATTCGCCAACCCGGATGAAGCACCAGACATTCTCTTTTCGTTCTTTCAAGTTCGTAAACAACACCTCCGTCAAGAGGATTGAGTGAGTAGGACTTCGTTGTGAGTGGCTGTATACACGTAGCCATGTGAGAGCATTTCTCGTGGGGGAGCTGACTCCCCCCATACTCGGCCGTACCATAGCATTCTACTTAATGAAAATAGTAGAATCCATCTACGTTTTAACTAAAAATTGGTTGCGTACTAAATCTTACAGAGTGTATTTCACGTTGAATATTTAGTTTACTAGTATTGGACTATTCTTGTAAATTGCTTGCTAGAAAAGAAATCTTCATAAATAAACATTTTTATATTTACTGTATATTACTGTAAACACAAGTATATAATCATCTCTAATCGTTGTGAATTAATTAATATTCTTGATGTTTAGGAAATTCGCTTTCTTAAAATGCAATATTTCACAATTATTAGGCTGAGCAACTTTATGAAGATTAGTTTAATTTCAGTATACTTTCTATCTTCCTGTACTTCTTAGAATTTCACGACTATTCGGTTGGTGCTAGTTCGTGAAGAAGAGAAATTGAGCTGGTCTCCACAAATCCGCTGACATGTAGTCACTAGTAATTAAATGCAAGATTAGTTACCGAAGTTGCATTGAGGAGCCATGACTGAAGAGGTGTGATCATATCAAGTGTAAGACAATTACTTACTGATGACATCAAATGTTTTTCACACTCAATCACATAATAACTGGAATTGAAAATATAAACTTTTGAATTTTATTGTCAACACACTTGTTGTCATACTTGAAGGTTTTGAATTCGATCCCTGACATGTTTGTATTTGTGCATGGCTAAGTAGTTAAAAACTATAGTAAAAATCTCCACTCAGTATTCTCAAGTATTCAACGGTTTTCCAACTAATGTTAGCTCATAATGTAAGCTATCTCTACATTTCATTAATACTGGTCGTCTTATTGTAGAATATGGTTGAATAAGATATCTTATAAGCCTTTCTATGTTCAACATACTAACTTCTTAAAGTATCATTAAATACTAAAACTGTTTATTAATTTTGTATTTCAACTCTGTAAAACCTTTTTTTTCAGTTTAACAATTCAAAAAGTGTTCCGAAGTAAAAACATCATAATAAACCTTTTTTTCTTGTTAAAATCATTTTACTAACAGAAAACCCTTAAAACATTTAAAAAAATATTATGGTTACTGTGACCATTAGTATATTACGGCTATAGCAACTGTCAAATGAATTGCTAAAAGGAAAAAAAAAAGAACAAGTTACACAGTATGTCAACATTTCTTTAATATAAACTTTTTTTTACCAATACAACCTTTACATTTTATAATCCTTGAAAATTTCCCAAAACTAAAATAAATAAAAATTGATTAAAACTATAATGTTCTATTACGAAAATAAGGTCAACATATTATGTCTTCCTTATGACCTTAAAATTAATCAATATATTTTGAGGGAAATCACAAAAATGGGTTACATTTGTTTAAGTGAGAATAAACTAAAAAAAAAATCAATCGGATTCAAATGATTTAAGGCATGAACACTTTTGTATACAAGTAAGTATATTCAATAAAACTAGTGATTTGTTTTAAGATTACCTTTCAGAAATATAAAAGTGATTTAGAACTACAATGCGTATGTATAAAATTAAGGGTTCTTTAATGAAGAACACTATTATATCTATAATAATAAAAAACTATCTGAACTTTTCGTTTACTTACTTACTTAATTACTTACGCTTGTTACTCCTAATGCAGCATAGGCCACTGACCAGCACCCTCCAACCCACTCTGTCCTGGGCCTTCTTTTCTATTTCCATCCAATTCTTGTTTATTTTACTCATGTCTATCTCCATTTCTCGGCGTAATGTGTTCTTTGGTATTCCTCTTTTCCTTTGGCCTTGAGGATTTCATGTGAGGGCTTGTCTTGTGACACAGTTGGGTGCTTTCCTCAATGTGTGTCCTATCCACTACCAGAGCTTCTTCCTGATTTATTCCTCTGCTGGGATCTGGTTTGTTCTTTCCCACAGTAGGTTGTTGCTAATAGTGTCCGGCCAATGGATCCGAAGTATGTTGCACCATGCTTTTTCATAATGATTCATTTGAATTACAATTTTACATCTATCATTCATTACATATTGAGCGTAAACGGGTGTATGAACATGTTAAATGTTATTAACATTGATCATATCACAAGTAAATCACTTTGTTTGACACTAAATTCGGAGTGAATATTTCATATTAAACATTTGACTCATCCATTTAGCAATGATTTGGGAGCCTGAAATTATTTTGAACTTCTGTAAAGAAAGATAAGTTTATTTGTTGGGATCCAATGAGATATTCTCGTTAAGATTTTCAGGAGCCAAAAAAAGGCTGAGAGCACTTCGTCTAATTGGTATAAGTCACGAAAACCTTTAAAAAAGTTAATTGTTTGTGCTAAACTATGATTAGATGATTAATAAGTCTGTTACCTAACTTTCTATGTTTCCAGAAGTTTCTAGTCTGGCAGTTGGCAATAAGCCTACAAATAAGGTTGTAACCTGTACATAGATAAACCTTAGAGTAAAGCGATTATTTATGTTTTGTGTCTCATCCTTATCGTTCAATTTCAAGTGTAGAAGTAGCGTATAGAATATGGTAAATAGGTTGCAACAATGTAGCAACAGTTATTAGAGTAGAAATTTATCAGTATTCGAATATGTAATGAAACAATTTTTTCCAGATTGTAAACAACACTTTTATGACTAGTTCTTATCGGTTTGCATTACGGTTAACGCTTTCCAACAACACCGATTTCACCATATTCGGTACCATCAGAAGACAGATTATGGAGGGAAACCATAAGATGGAAAAACCCTTTTTGTTTAAATATAATTCCAAATGGTTATACATTTTATGCTCCATCCTCTTATTTATCTAAGCGCAAAATTTTATACTGATAAGCAGAGATGGATAGTGGCTAGCAGTGCAACCCAGGATGCACTTTTCGTCCTATTTGGGACTCATCAGTTGGACGTATCTGTATCTCAGATTTGGTGTTCACCCTGGGACTCCAACCCAATACCGTTCACTGCAAACGCCACTGCTTGTTAATATCCATCTTTACTTATAATACTTGTGAATTAAGGCAATACCGAGGAAATACGCACAGTATGCACATATGCCAATAAGAGACTGATCAATTGTAGTCCTAAAAATCAATGGGAAGATTCAGGTAAACAATGTCAATTGAATTTTCTATTGGCAGTTTAAAGCGTTTGTATTTTCTCGGTGTTGAAATTAACCCATCCTTTCATTCATATGTGGATTTCGAGACAATAGCCTCGGTAAAGAAATATGATGAAAAATTGAATTATAGCTGTTAATGATATTTAGGACTAGTTTTCATCGAATCCGGGGATCGTTAACTGAATTTATCTGCTGTGTTGTGGTATTATATTCTAGATTCGAATCCAGTGTCTATCGCTCTAAAAATAAACGTGAAATCGACCAAACTACTGTGTCCAACGTTTCTTGTTGGTACGACAGGAAGCTTAATCAAAAAATGACAATATTTGTAAACATATGGTCAAAGGTTATTTTTACGTATCTAATCTACATGAAAGGATAAATTTCGCTTTTTATCACTTCCTTTTAAACAAGCTACTGGGCATCAACTTGTAATAAATAGGACAGAAAAAAATATTGATCTCCTGTGAAAAACCGAGTATTCACACAACTAAGCTAACTAAATTCCAGTCAGTGGATCAAATATCCCTAAGATTCTGTGAATTGAATTCTGGCAACACTTATAGACTAATCATTCTTGTTGGAATTAATCTAAGTTTAAGACTTCAATGGTCTTTCGGATGTCTCCATGTTCGTTAGTTGCTTTACGTTATACACATTTTGAAGACACCGGTTACAATTACGTTCATAAAAATTGTTGAAGCTGAATAGGGAATAGAAGTAAAAGAATTATTGAAACGATAAATGAAATTTTTCGAGACAGGTTATATATTATGTAGCCTATTATGACAGGTTACAGCGATTTTTATTACTGTTATTAATTCTAAATATCATAAACTGTAAGCAGCTGATGGGAACCTAACGAAATAAAATGAATCCATGTTATTCTGATTAAATCTGTTATTTCTCGCTTCTCAATCAACAGAACAAATGGTAATGTACATTAATACCAATACACCTCTATAAACAATGTTCTAGCCCATTTACATGCTATTCGATAAGCCAATATTTTAGTAACCATATACTAAAAACTATGTTGTATGCATCTGTTAGCAGTGAAAAAGTTTATTACAAATTTCAATGTCATTAAATATTTTGTCTCATTATTTTAGAATCTAAATAAATAACGAAATCATTATTTTAGATGGAGA